ATACCGGTATAGCATGTTATTTTACTATATTAGCATGACATATACCATATAATATATAATAACATATCCATCATGTTATAAACAATATTCAAAACATATTATTAAATTTATTGGTATGTAGCATAACAATAATATCATAATACATGTTAATGTGTTATATATCATATAACATACTATAATTCATTTAACATACTATATGATACAAAAATATGATATGTGTAATAATAATATGATGTGTATAATAATAATAATAATAATATGATATATCATGTTAATATATGGCGTACCATTTTAATATGATGTGTGTAATAATAATATGTTATGTCATATATGTATAATGTTACGTTTCATTTTAACATTATGTAAATCGTTTGTGTAATATATGTCAATTTATAAAATTTTAAAATTCTAACATATGCACAAAAATCTTGTTTTTATATATACATACTATTATCTCAAACAAATATCAAATGGAAAAACAAAATATTGATAATTTCTTTGTCCATAACCGTAATCCGAGATACTTCATATGAAAAGTCATGCATTATAAGTATGTTTTCCGATGGCATCGATAGAGTCATGCAGAGAAAAAATAAATTTTCTGAAAACTAACAACAATGCCATATATTAGCTCAAACTCTCTGAAGACAACTTGTACAGATTTAAGGAACCATCAATGAAAATTAGGAGGTTATCCGCAAAACAGAGGTGAATCAACTTAGTCTTTTCACAGTTGTAGTGATGCTGGAACTTACTTTCCTCAGCATCGTTCTTTTCCTCTTCTCTTAATCCCTTTTTTGCTCTGAAGATCATTTTTTTTTTGAATGAGTTTTTAAGCTTTTGAGTGTAGAAACATTTTAATTGATACAATGAACATTAACTAATGTGTTTTATATACATTGTATATACTTAATATAAAGTATTTCAAATATTTACATATGTACAATTTTGAAAAATTTGTTGATATGTAAAATGAGATTCAAACAAAAAGAAACAGATAAAATTAGAGATAAAAGAAAAATCTAATAAAAAGATGAAAAAATAGTTATCAA